ATCCAGGTTGACACCACTTTGACTGCCATGGCTCAATGCTGTGGAATTTTGGGAACTGTAGTTTACTGTGGCACCAGAGCTCTCCCAAAGAGAAGGCTAAATGTCTCACAAAACTACAATTCCCAGAATTCCATAGCATTGAGCCATGGCAGTTAAATCGGTGTCAGCCTGGATTATTTCTGCAGTGTGGATGCAGCCTTGAGAAGCTCTGCTGTAAAGCACTAAACTGAAGTAGAGAATTGTAACTGTACTGCATAACTTGAGCTGCGCTGTAAAAGGGCAAGTTCAGTGAGACTTTTGGTGTTGGAATTTCTGTTGGAACTAGTAGCAGAAATACAGTACAAAGCTTTTATGGCTTGTTACTTCTGTGTGTGGTTTGGGTTACTAGGGACCTTTACAGACTGTCAGAAATAGTGCAAATTGAGGCCACTTTAACTGTCCTGGCTCAGTGCTAGGGAATCATGGGAATTGTATTTTTTCTGAGACATTGAGCTTTCTCTGTCAGAGACCCCTGGTGTCACAATAAACTATAGTTCCCATGATTCATTAGCAATGAGCCAGGACAGTTAAAGTGGCCTCAATTTGCACTATTTCTGGCAGTCTGTAAAGGCCCTAGGTGCTCTGATTAAGCAGCCTGAGTCAGGCCAACCAGCCAATAAACCATTCAAACAAGCATGGTTGGGGTGGATAGGTCAGAATATCTTAAATTTACATTCTATCTACCCTACCTAATTTACTCCCAATTTCACCCACATTCTAGTTTTTCCAGAGCACAATTCATAGTTCCCATACCTTTCCGTAACCAAGCTGAAGTATATATAACTGAAAGGTTTCTTTTCATGCCTCAAAATTCCCTCCTCTTATGTAATGGGATTTACTTTGCAGCCTCTTTGAAGCTAGCAAATTTCTCCTAAATTAAAGTGTTAGGTGGCATTTAAAATGTGTACTAATAATGTGATCCTAGTTTTCTCTCAGCCCACTAGATTTCTCTTGAGTTATGTTGCTATTTGTTACAGAATTTGTTAATTACTTTTTGGATTGAAACCCCCAATAATAATAATAATAATAATAATAATAATAATAATAATAATTTATAATATTTACAGAGGAGAGTATCCCTCCTCTGTAAACGCAATCAGGGCTGCTTACACAATAAAACATACAGACCTGTCTCCCAATAGCCCACCGCTCCAAAATACAGTTAAACAATCATAATTTAAAATATACTTAAAATATCAGATAAACAACAGATGATAAATAAATTAAAATAACAGTAGCAGAAATCAGGGTCAAGCATAACTTTTTCGGTGGCTGGTTGTCTACTCAGGAAAGCATGCTGGCAGGGATTCTGGGACTTGTAATCAAAAAATAACTTTCCCAAGATTTGTGGTGACC